GCAGATTCTGTTGGAGATGGCAGTTCCTATACCCCACATCAGTATCAACCCATGCACATAAGCCTTGGTTTGAATCTGGGTCACATTTCCTCTTTAGGCAGAGGTGCAGTGCCTTTTTATCAAAGCACAAACGAGCTCTGTCATATTGCTTCCTTTCATTGAGAGATACAAGGCTGTGTTTTTTTTTGCAGTGGCTCAGACTTTTTTTTGAGTGTTCTGCATTCAGAGAAAGAGCTCAAAATCCAGGTTACACTGAGAATTGTAATTTTTAAGTATTACAGCCCAGGTAAGCAAACAACAAAGCACAGGCCAGTGCAATGAAACTGAGCTTTCAGATGTTTCAGAAGAATCTATTCAACAGTATTGGTAGGCCAGATGATTTTGTAAGGTTCAAGGAGCCAAGATCTGTGGTTTGGTAGAGATGACTTGCAAGGTGATAGAATGAGGAGATACTTCTCAAGCTACGGCAGGTTATTCTCCCACAGCAGGGTACCCTGCATGCAGAGTCTGTTCTCATGGGGAAAGCTGAACCAGGTGCTCCTTCTGACTCCTATGCTAGCATCCCTTTCATTTTGAGGCTGGACACTCAGGCTGTGTGAAATCTGGTATGAATTTGTGTCAGCTGCTCCTCTAAGATCAACCGCCTCTCTTCTGTTCTCCTATGAGCAGCATTTCTGATTTCCAGTTTTATAACTTTTTGGATTTCTATTCTCTTCATTTTTCCTGTTGGCTACATTTTGTGATCCTCAGCTGGTGTGCTGGCATTTTCAGATTTCTTTCCTGGGATCTAACTATGATAGAGCATCCAATAAAGAATCAGGCTGCTTAAACTTCAGACTGTTGGTTCCTCTCAGTAGCCATACCCTTAAGATTTAGGCGTGCTAAAACTGAGCATTATGGTGACCAAATAAATTTATTGATTTCTGTAGGAGTTAGAAACCTAAACAGGCCTGAAAATCTGCACCTGGGCAGCTGCATGGTTAAAACTGTCTCACATGATATGTAGAACATAATGCAGCATTTCATAACAAAACTGTTAGTGCAAATAAATATTCTAGCTGTAGGTGGTTTCCCTGCAGAAAATTAAAGTTCAATTTATGTTGTTATACCTGCTAAATGGTGGTGATAAAATTAAGTAATCTCTGTACATCCATGAGAATGGATGTTTTTAAGTATAACAAACACACATTCTCTTATTATAGTGCAATTTGTGATTCTTCTTTTCATGTTTTGTGAGTCTAAATATTTTATAGTAATGTCATGTGAAAATAATAAAATATGAAACTAAAAATCAGAGGACATGATAAGCATAAAAATATTTTACTCATTGCTTTTGATGGTCCTACCAAAGCCATATGAAGTCAATGGTAAGCTTCCCTTGGTTTCAATAGGCCTTGAGTCAAGCTGGGGTGCCTCCTGGGAAATTACACCACAAGGGTCTTGAGACCTTGATAGGGTGCCTCTTCCATGCTAGAACATTCCTAAAACGGATCAGAAGGCATTCATTACAAGCAAAAAGAAGTTTTGAAGCAGTTTGTTTAGCTTTTGTGTTTACCTAAACACAAAAGATGACTAAAAAGCATCTAAAAGAGCTTATTATCTAAGTTGTTAGAAGTTTTGATAAGCTATTAAGCATTCAGATAGCCAATAAATAGTCTATGTGATTTGATGTTTAAGAATATTTATTGGTGTAAGGTATAAGAATAACCTTAAATGTTCTTTCACCTAGCCAAAAGATTAACAAAGTCAGCTAAAAATCTGCATGTATCTTGCTAATAATTGAAACCGTGTACAATTTTCAGTACATCTAGTCTTTTAGCAGAGGCAACCAAGGTTATTGAAATGTAGCTGTAGCTGTGAATGAGAGCAGGACATAAGGAAAACTGCTCTGACATTACTCCCTGCTGGTCACCCTCCTAGGCTCTTCTGTAAGTCACTTTGAAATGGAAAATCTTATACTAATTCTGAATTTCAGGTTATATGGAACTTTGGTTTGCAGCAATTTTGTGGTATTGACATGTTGTACCACATTTCCTGCTGGCTTTATGTTGACAAAGGTATCTTCTCTTTTTGCTTCCATCCTAGCAAACAACAGATGTTTGAAGCTGGCACCTACTTGCAGTCATACCGTGAAGTGTCTGTGCAATTCATGGCCTTGTTTCTTCATCTAGACCTAATCAGGCAAAACCCATCTGCATGTGTAGCCAGTTAGGAGGTACAGATACAAGTGGCAGCAAGGTTAAGTCAGTGTTTCAATTGAAATCAGAAATTCTGACCTGGTGCAGGCAGCCCTTGTCCCAGTCACCTTAACTTATTCAGCACTAAACTATTATCCTCCCATTAGCCTCGAGGCAGCTGAAAGGTAATGCTGCACCATTGTGCTCATTACTGCTACTTGATCTTACAGACAAGGATTTTTCTTTATCACTCATCTAGTTCCAGATGTCTGGATGTTGTTCTGAATCCCAGACTGGGTCTTTGCTGCAAATCAGTTTGACAGCTAACTGCAAAACAGATTTGCCTTGGAATAATTTGGGTAAAATGATGGTTAAACTCAGCAATAACATTGTTAAACACTGTACAGATTGAATTGCACATTCATTTTAATTGTATGCTGCATTGAAATGGATGTACTTAGGTCTCCTAAGTACGCTTAATGAGTCAGATTAATAGGAGTTTGTTTGTATTACTCTAATTTTCATGTAGGGGATTTAAGAGTAACTACCTACCTGAGTTCTAGTACTTTCAGTTATGACATTATTTTATGTTTATAATGAATAATTTAATCACCACTGTCATTGTATTGAGAATAGTGGAACAAATTACAGATCTCTTGTATCCATCTGCATATACTTTCACCTTGTGGTCGACTGGTAGAAGTCTGGGGTATGTAATGTTCTGAAAATTACATAATTACATTTAAATCTTTATATATCAAACCCTAACCTGATGAATCAACATAGAATTTTCTATTGGGCTCCCACTTAATTCAGGATTTTCTGAACAAGCCTGTCTTAAATAAAAAAAAAATACATATTACAAAATACAATATCTCTGAATATATTCAGAGGTATTGTGGCTTTCCTCTGCTATGTGAACTTAGCCAGGGGGGTTGCTTATTCAGATGACTCTTCATGGACTGGTATACCCTATGAACTCCCTACAATAAACGAAGTCTCAGCTCCATGTGAATTGCTCAGTATTTAGAAATGAGATATTAAGTGTTGTTACAGACTTCTGTTCTTCTGATTCTTGGGGAATTTATGTATGTGTTTTGCCTACAAACATGTTTTGAGAGAGTGGGAAAGGAGAAATACAGCATGAGCTAGAACAGCTTATAATCACCTATTAATATATGTGTCAGAAGATTTGGATTCAGGTTCTTTCCTTGTTTTGACAGAAGTGTCAAATCATCATCCTATCCAAAAAAGATGTTTCAGATGCTTATTCAAACAAGATTTGTAGTTCAGCCCATGCCTCTCTCTAAAGGAAAGATAAGCCTCCCAAACAGAAACTGACTATTCCGCTATTTGAAGGGTAGTAAAACTGTGTCTTCATGATGGCAATGAATCTATTTTCTGCTAGTATTCTGGGTCATTTTAGAAAGCTCTTCCTGAAATCTGTGTTTCTGTAAGGATTCTCTCTCAGCAGACAAGGAAGATGATGTTGAACTCTTCTGGGACTGGCTGCAGTTACATCTTAGATGTGTCTGTGGAAAAGGTGGCTCTCTCTTTAACTTTCACTGGATGTGGCTGTCGAAGACTTGAGCACTGATTCTCTGAAGAATTTGTTTAGACCTGGAGCAGCTCTGCAGCTTCCTACTGTATGTGGACTTTGCTCTTCAGCATAGAAGAACCTGGCCTTTTTCCAAATCTTCAGGCACAGGTCATTGAAATGATCACAGTACAAAAGGTGAAGTCTTTCCTAGTCATCACTGATTCTGCAAGAGCCATCTGTGTTAAGCAGATTGAACACTGGCTTGTTTCTCTGAGAAAGTGGGAGGAGGGATTGCAGATGAGCATTTAGGGAAAAGTCTGTAGTTTAAAAGCTGGATTTTTGAAATGAAAACTACTACATGCCTCTGCTTCCAGGAAAATCACTATTAGAAATCAACACAGACTTAACTGGCATTCAGTTAAGGCAACATGAATACAAATGATTTACTTGTAACTCCTTGGAGGGAAGAAGTGGATGTTTCTATAGGTGGTAAAATCTTTTTCTCCACTTTCAATATACTGGTTTTATTTTCATAATAGACATTTTCTCACCCTTTTTAATATTCTGCATTGTGATATATTACAAATATAAAAAAATGATCTAATTCTATTAAAGTTAGAAAACTCTTTGGTTGTATTTTAAATGAATACAGGATTAAAGAATATGTGCAATTTACAGCGTGGTCTTGCCTTTATCTAAGTGATTATTAGAGTTTCTGATTGGTAAAATGAAATATCACCACTCTGTAACACATGTATCCTGGTCTTATCTTGATAGAATATAGATTTCTGTAGCAGTAACTTGCTTACACAGCAGTGTGAAGAGGATGGAGAAAATGGAGTATGGCTGTACTTATCTCCAGAAATAAGATGTGTACACTGAAGAGCAGCAGCCCCAAACCCATCCTGCTTCATTAGGCAGCTGAAGGAAACATAGGAAAAATTACAGTCACATTATCAGGTTCACAAAAGTTTTCTAAAATACATAGCTGCTAAAAGTAGACCAATACATCTGACTTGCCTAAAGTTATGAAACAAGTCCAGGCAATGTTTGTTTGTCTCCTAAGACAAAGTCATTGTTACCAGAGAAAAGACAGATTCTGGAGCTTGCCTTGCCTTCCTTTGCCACGCTAATTCTCCCAAGGCCATTCAGGTCCTGGGCCTTTAGTTTCATTAGCACATTTGTCTGGGACACCAGAATGCTGAATGTTTGGGAAGCAGAACTGGAAAGAAAAAGCTAAAAAACCGCAATGACTGTGCTGTGCACATAGGTCATATCCACACCGGCTGGGGAACTGGGCTTCACAAGGGATGCAGTCCAGTCCCACTGAGAGCTAGGAAAATCCTTCCAGTCACTTTGACACGCAAACTTCCATCCAAGAGAAGTGCAGGACTCTTAAAACTCAATTTTGATTCATGCGATAACTAACACACATCTGTAAAGGAAAACAAAGGCTTAAAATGTAAAATTTACTTCCACAGTTTGACTCTTATCCCTAAAACTTATGTTGATCAGGTCCATGGGGGGTTTTGTGGTTAGTTTTGGTTGGTTATTTTTAATTTTCAGAATGCTTGCTCTAGGGCTTGGATTGGTCCATAAGGAATCTGGTCCATAAGGAATACTTAAAAGTCAAAGAGCATTACAGAAAATGTGCTACCTTTCTGAATTTTAGCCAGCTGTTTGATATATAACATTGGCAGTTTAAGGCTCCTGCTGAATTTTTAAGCCATTTGGAAAATATATCAGAGACTCCAGTAGGACTTCACTGATTTACACCAGCTGGGAATTTGACCCTGAGTCTTTTAGAACAGGGTAATAGCCAATCAATAAGAAAACATTTCAGTCGGTATGTGAAAAGTAGCACTCCTCTGCCAGTTCATTCCCTGGCTTTCCTGGTGGAATGTCTGCGAAGAAAATTGCCTCAACATTTTTAGTGGCTGCCGACGTAGTAGTTACAGGTTCTGCTCAAAGCAGCTGCTATGGCTTCACGTGTTTTTGGGGACAAAGAGGAAGGAGCCTGGATGTATGTATAAGGGGGAGAAATGGGAATACAGACATATGGGACTTGTATGCTGGGATCATTTCTCTCAGCAGATGAGTAGGGAAAGGCAAATGACTGACTGTCAACATGGAGCCAAAGGAAGGAGCCTGATTGACTGTGTCAAACTGATATCCCACACCTCATCCTGGGAACCACCATTAGTCAAAACAGGTCTTACAACAATAGTGTGCCTAAAAGTAGGACCAGCTCTCTGATTCTAACCAGATCTCTAAATATGCATAGGAAGAAGGGCGGTGCAGAAAAGGATGATCTGCATACAATGTTGAGGTATTGATGCTCACTCAGTGTGTTGACCAAGTATATAACAAATAGCAAAAGTCAAACACCCAACCTGAACAAGTGCTCAGCATGAGTCTGGACAATGTCTGCCCCCACTGAGGGTCCACAGCATTATTGGAGGTGTTGACAATAATCTTCTGAGTAACAGCTTCAAGGGCATTTATAACATTCGCTGTAAGCGGTAATAACATTCGCCCATTTGCTTCTGCTGCCTGTAGTCCTAACATTTTGTCTTGCTGATTGATGGATTAGGTGCATGATTACATGGTATTTTTGGGGGTAAAACAGAATGTTCAAGGCCAAAGAGAAGACCTAAACTAATCTTAGGCCTAGTTTTCTACTTTTCCAGTGTCTGCATATATGAGGCGGCTGGTAAACTGCTCCTATCAGACAGCCCAAAACTGATATAGTAACAGTGTCGTGGTTTAAGCCCAGCCGGTAACTCAGAACCATGCAGCCACTTGCTCACTCCCCCCCCACTTCCCCCCCGCTCCTGGAGGGATGGGGAGAATCGAAAGAATGCAACTCCCATGGGTTGAGATAAGAGCAGTCCAGTAACTAAGGTAGAACACAAACCACTGCTGCTACCACCAATAATAATAATGATAAGGGAAAGAACAAGGGGAGAGAATACAACTGCTCACCACCTGCCGACCAATACCCAGCCGACTGAACAGTGATCTAGCCCTTCTGGGTAACTGCCCCCAGTTTATATGGTGGGCATGATGTGCTGTGGTATGGAATACCTCTTTGGCTACTTTGGGTCAGGTGTCCTGTCTCTGCTTTTTCCTGGTTTCTTGTATCCCTCCTCTCTGATAGAGCCTGAGACTCATAAAGTCCTTGGTCAGAGTAAACACTACTGAGCAGCAACTAAAAACATCGGTGTTATCAGCACTGTTCCCAGGCTGAAAGTCAAAAACACAACATGGCACCGGCTACTAAGAAAGAGAAAAATGACTGCTACTGCTGAACCCAGGACACACAGTAATGTTGTTCATCTGTTCTTGCTAATACTTTTTTTAGTCATATGAAGAATGGATGGAAAAGGCCATTTAAAAGATGGGACATTGGCATCTCCCCATCTTGGATTCCTACCTCTCAGCAGCTTGGCTTGTGCAGCAGGTCTGCTGTTCTTGGCTGGGTCTGGAGCAGCAGGCACACAAATGGCCCAGGTGGAATTAGCTATTTTTAAGCTTATTTCTGTATCAGCAGAAATTGGAAGCTGATATATAACTCCAAAAGAGCATCAAATCTCTGTCAAATCCACTCCCACACTAAGCTCACATCCCATTTCCCTGAAATTAAAGCTTTACTCAGAGAAATCAGCTCCCGGTGGATGAATTTCCTAGAATGTGCATTCATTAGTTACTACTGGCATAGCACAGTGAAGGTGGAGAGCATTACACAATCAACTGATAATGTCACTAATATGTGCTATTATTAAGGCTATTAAAATAGAATTGGCATTGTAGAAAATATGGTGTCATTAAATACGTATTAGGGCTTTATAATGAACTATCAGCATGACTGGTTCCATGCAGTCTTGGCAGGCAATTTTAGAGGAACACGTTCACTTCCCAGCTTTGTAGTGCCAGGACTGTACTCTGTGGTGGGATTTGAAGGCAGAAAGCAAGGGCATCGTGTGAAGCCAGGCCTCGGGCATAGCGCTGCAACCACGCTGTGCTCTCTCGGACTGCCTCCACCCTCGACTGCTTGCGCTGTGGTCTATCTGCACCCTGGGCTGCAGCACTGCCACCCTCCACATGCCAGTGAGCTCTGGGACAGGGAAAGGAATGGCCGTGACATGCACCTGAGCTGTGTCCAGATGGAGTGTCTGAACAGTGCAAAGCTCTGGAGAAAAGAGGAAGGTAAGGGTGAGATGTGACCCAGTCTGCTCTGCAGTGGGTTGAAGCACTGACGGGTGAGTTGCTGGGCTACTTGGTGGCTGCCATTAGATAACTCCTTGGCTGGTTTATTGGCAGCTAGCTTTGCTAGTTCCCACACAATTACCATTGCTTTTCCATACTTGGAGGATTTCCTCCAGTGCTGGCTGGCAGAATATGGAGTACAGAAGAAATAATAGTTTTCATTTCTGAAGGAGAGCATTTGGCTGGGGTTAGTTTGCAAATGGGCTTCTCCAAGCATGCCCACTTTTTCTGGCTGGAAATTTTGTCTAGCATTTCCATTCATGTTCATGGCTACAGATGGGATCAGATAAATGATATTTGAACACTGGATATGACCATTTCAAGAAATGGCATGTCTATTTTGTACATGCTACAGATTCAGTGTACCTCAGACACAGCAGATGTTCCCTGAAGATCAGCCGTAACACTTCTGCCACAGAAAGCCAGCACTTCCCAGAAGGTGCTGGACCACTGCTCAAGCCACACTAGGTTTAATCTATGTGGTATGGAGCAATGACTGAAAACTCATAAAGCTTAATATATAAAACTCATAGAGCTTAATGCCTGTTGTTTTTAATAGTTAGTGGCTTTTAAGTCTCTCACATAATGATTCAAATAAATACCTGTTCTTTTATAGCCTGTCCAGCCTGTGAATCTTGAAATGCTATACAAAGGTCATAAACAACAATTTTACAATAGTCAAATTGTAGTCCAAAAAGACAGTCTTGCATCTGGCTGATGGCTGAGCCAAGAACGGGACAAGAGCCTCTGGACCCCAGATGAGGGTGCTACCCCCAAAGACAAAGGATGAACAGTATCCCACCTTACCACAAAATATTGCAACTGTACATAGAATCATAGAATAGTTAGGGTTGGAAAGCACCTTAAGATCATCTAGTTCCAACCCCCCTGCCACGGGCAGGGACACCTCACACTAAACCATGTCACCCAAGGATCTGTCCAACCCGGCCTTGAACACCTCCTGCAAAGGAAGACATCCCCAAGCACAGCACAGGGAGGGCCCAATCGCAAATGGTCCTTTTTTTGCCTCAGAAAACTATAACATTTCCTCTGGGGTCTTTCTCACGCTTTTTTCAGTGCTTGAGGTTAAAAGCACCAGCACAGTTCTTGTCAAGTCAGTGTAGTTATGGCAGCGTATGTCTGTTGAACTCCTGATGTGATCTGTTCTCAGCAATGCAGATAAACATGAAGAATGATACCAGACCTATGGTCTATCTTTACTGGGACCTATGGTCTATATCTTCCATTCATTCAAATAAATGAGCAAAACAAAAATCACAGTCAGAATTGCATAAAAGGAACTAACACCGTGTACTGCAATCAGCAGGGTTTGTCAGAGTTTGCCAAGTGAAGCTCTGAGCAGTTTAACTGGCTTAACTGGTTTAGTTAAACTACTTCATATCCTTTCTTGGATGCTTTTAAACTGGTAACGGTAGCTTTAATTCACCAGTGCTGCTCCTGGTGTTTCCACGCTGCAGTGGTGGAAACAAAGCCTCCCTTGGTACTCGCATTCAGGCATATGGTACCACTGGGAGAAAAGCTGTGAACCTCCCCTGTGCCTCCCATGTGTGGTTAGTGTTTATTTAGTTCACAGTATTAAACCTGAGGTATAGATACATAAGGACTGTGAGAACTGTCTTGTCTACTTGCTGAAAATGTTATTGCATATACAGAACTCAACATAAAGGAACCACATTCTATGAAAAGGTATTTCATTATGTTGCCACCAAACCTATGAAGTAGAACCTTCTTTAGCTGTAGCTGATTAACTTTATTCACATGGTTTGCCTACTTCTTGAACACAATGCAGTACTTGAATTAAAATCTTTAGATTTTTATGCTCTGTATTTTTTAGGGCTAGGTTAATGAATAATACCCACAATTTTACTGAGTTATCTGAGTGACCTGATCTCTCTGCCCAGATCAATCAAATTCTCTCAAGCAAGCTTCAAGGCAAGTGTTAATGGGGAAAAATGTAAAATTTGCCTTTTAGAAATTTTCTCTCAAATAAAATGTCCTGTTTCCTCAAGAGGTTCTTTCAAAAAAACTTGCTCATTAAAATATTAATTGGAAACAGGCAGAAAAGGGTCACGAACAAAGTCACGTATCTGTTGAAATCTACCTAGAGGAATGTGATTATCTAGTTTCTCAAATAGACTGTAACACTGATTGTAGCACTGATTTCATTGCTTTGAAAAACATGGCAAGACAACCTTCCTAATCTTCTCTTTGCTCAGCAGAAGGTTTGGTGGTGTAGAAATGAACAAATAAAGTGAGAGTTACAACTTTTTCATATTATTTCCTGGGAAAGGACCACTTCCAAAATAAGGAAAACCTTTCTGGTAATTGAAAATAGAAGAGTGACATCACCTTTACTTATTCCAGACTTCACTATCGAGTGTATATTTTTACACAACACAATCCAAATCTTTTTCCAGGATGACTCAAGAGATAGGAAAAAAAAAAAGTTGTTTTCCTGCTGTTTGCCTTGGTAACTGTGCATCCCATTGCTGGCTTCCAGGGCTCCATGTTCTGAATGGTTGCAAGTCCCTTCCTGTGCTGTGAGCAGGAGCCTGGGCAGCTGGTGAAGCAGCACAGCAACAGGAACAACAAACCAAACTCCTCCATATGATTAGCCTGGCCATGCAAGGAGAGGGAATCAGAAATGCAGCCCATTTATACCAGCAGATGTTACACTGCTTCGCTCCTGCTCATGAGGAGCAGGATTTGTACAGCTCCTTGATAGCTACTTCTACTGGATGGGGTTTCAGAGTAATCAGAAGAGACCGTTCCTGGGTCTGCAGCAGCATACTGGTGTATGGGCAGAGCCTTTGTAGATGTGCTAGAGCTGCCCAAGCTGTAGCATTGCTTGCTGGTGAGCTGTGTCTAGTTTGACTAGGGAGGCCTGGTGCACTAGTTCAAGAGTCCAGTGAAAAGTACAAACACACTCACTGCAAGCCTCTGTCCATTGCACTTCTCACTCGTGATGATGTTTCAGAAGCGTGTAGATTTTCCAGTGGTGGGTTTCATTCTATTTACATCTCTGATCAGGAACTACAGTTTTTACATAGCACAGGGTGCTTCCGTCTGCATACCGAGAGCCTTCACCCCTCCTGATTTCAAACACTGGAGGAGGTTGGGATCGCTTTGTTTGCTGTGCCAAGGAGTACATGCTGTAACAAGTGAATGTGGGCATAAGTGGTGTGCCACAAACTTCACTCTGTGCCACTTAGGGAAGGACTGGAAGAACTGGATTTCTGCCAGCCAGTATAAAGGTAGGGTAGGCTGGGAACAGGCAGTTCTGGTAGCTCTCTCCTGCAGAGCCTTGTAAGCAGCAGATCTCATCAGAACCAGGTAAAAAACCTCTGCATGAATTTGTTTATTTTGGTTTAAGCTTGCTACTGTTTGACCTGGGTCATTCCTGAGCAAAGGGCGGGATTCAGGTATATCCCACATGACCTCCAGCTGCAGTCCCAAAGGGATATAGGACTCCTGTGCATCCTGTGTCATACCTGCCAAGCCCATGGAGATACCTGGAATAGAACAGGGTAGTTATAACGTACTGTATATAGACAGCTAAATCTCACCAAGTGTTTTTACAACTCTTTGCACTGAGGCTTTTGAGGTTTAGTCTGCATAAATTTGCTTTTAGAAAAGAAACGGCTGTGTCCTAGTGCATGGGGACACTCACAAAGATTGTTTTCTGTGCTTCCTAATAGATGTGGACTGGTAGCAACCACGGTGAACCACGATGCTTACACCTAGCATGCAGATGTTACCAACCCCCTAAAAGACTTCTGCTCAGGTATTACCCAGCCCTCCAGACTGTTACACTCCTTTAGCATGTCAGGCTTTCCCAGTAATGTCTCTGCTTCACCCAACCCCTCTTGCCAGCTGGCTATGTAGAGACCTATTTCACATCTACAGTTTGGTGGGATTCTTTGGAAGTCTCATCTATGTGACCAGCTGAGAGTGACTTGCCAAGCATCTGTAAAGCATATCTCCTGGATATCTAAGGGAGATACTGATGAACAACAACTCTACTGCATTTTAGTCAACAGCCTGGTATTGTAGGAAATGGATTTGAAAGACCTGTTTGCTGCCTTTGTTTGGGAGCAGAGGCTTAAGCCCAGGCCTCCTGCACTTCTGACTAAGATTGGTGAATCCTTAGGTAATGCAAAAAATAAGATCTACTTTTGGTGAAACATTAGAGTGGAAAAAACAGTGAGCTTTTGTTCCTTGCAGATACAATATGACTGTTTTCTCAGAGCAGTAAGCTAAAGATGAGGGTTCTGGGGCTGAGTACTAGCTGCTCCAGGAGGGATGGGCAGCCATGGGTGACCTCAGCATGGGCCTTGCCCTCATCAAAAGGCACAGCCCCTATAGCCAGGTGCTGTTAATGGGCCCACTGACAGAGCCAGAGGAGGCAAGTGATGACCCAGGTGCAAGGGCTGTCCAGCCCAGTCAAGAGCAGCAGGAGATGGAGCCAGAGATGAGACAACAGTGTGGGCCCAAGGCATTCACCCAGGAAATAGGGCCAGAGATGGGGCTGGAGACAGGCACCCCTCCTGCATTGCTGCGACAAGTACCAACAGCCCCAGGCTAAGCTGAAATGGGGCTCCAGGGCCATGGGCTGAGCTGGAGGGAGGCCCCAGGGAAGGCTGGGCAGGGACAGAAAGACCATCAGTGCCTTTGGGGGCTGCGGCAGAGAAGTGTTTGAACCCCTTGAACAGTCACCAAGACAGCAAAGATAAGGACTCCATGCATGATATTAAGCGTATCTATGACACACAGTCTTTGGACTCTGTGACATAAATACTTCTTGTAACATCTTGGTGCAGCAGGTAGAAGGCTCAGGTTCCCTAAACTCCCAGCAATGTGCCCTAGCTGGGTGTTTATCTTGAGAAAGGCAGGGCAAAAGAGTTTCTTGAAGTGAACAAGTAATGCATTTAAAAACAAATCCCTGTAAAGTGAGGGCACTGCAGGCTGTGGATGAAGTGCTGGATTAAGACCTCTTGGAAATGCTCTGGCTTTTGTCTTTACCATCCTTTATGGCCATATGAAAGTCTATGATTGTTTTTCACCTTCAAAGGGTTTCTTAATTCATCATCTTCATGTGATGTGCTGTGGAAATACTAGCACCAATTGCTCCTAATACAATTTCTTTTTGTGACTGGAATGTACATATTTATTAAAGCATTGTCTGCCTCATTCAACCTTAGGATTGAATAGAAACAGGTCAGGAATATACAGTAATAGAAATATAAGGAAAATGAAAACAGATTTGAGGGAATCTTTTTTAGCAGCAAGCTAAATTAAGCAAAAGATTAGCTCTACCACTCAGATTCTCTGCTGACAAGCTTGGAAAATCCTCCACATCACTTAGCATCTAAAATGCACAGTCCACCCCCTTTTTAGCACATTTTAGTACAAAGCTTCTAACTAGCCAGAAAAAAAAAAAGCAAGAGCTTTATGCACAGGAATAGCAAGTAACTTAAAATTCACATGGCTTCCTTTGGGAAAAAAATAGTTGAATTCTGTGGGAAGTATCTACTAAAAGCTGTTCTTGGAAGATACTGAGCATCATTTTATAAATATATTGCTCAATCTGTCAAATTTATTTACATGTACACAGACAGGCTTGCTATAAACATTACAGCACTGGTTACTGCTCTGAACAGTGTCAGTGTTGATAGCAAGACTGTGTTTGAATTTTATTGTACACAGTAATTCCCACTGGTCTGCCATTGTATATGGGAAAATATGCACTTAACAGACATAAATTTGGGATTCAGTATCAAAAATAACTCTCAGAATCGACACGTGCTCAAGATGTTGCCTTCCTGCTAAACTAATGGCAACAGTAAAGGTAGTGGTATTTCAGAAAGTCACATTCTTCTTTTAAAGAGACATGGGGAAGGAACGTTGTACTGGCAGTTAGACAAACTATTGGTACAAAATGATGGAACCTGTTAATCTTTGCCAGCTCATGCTAATGGCAATAAAGCATTTGCTGTCACTTAGAAGTGTTTATCAAGGTACTACAACCATCTTTTATGCAGTTGAGCTATAAATGAAATAAAACTGGGTTTTGGGCTGTTACTACACCACCTATTTTTGAGGTAAGAGAACATCTTGCAGCCTGAGCAGGGCTTGCTGTATCCCTGTTTATCTGCACACTGTGGGGACACATGTTACGATAAATTTGTGTTTACCATTAGTTCAACTAGTAGGTAATATAAAGCAAGATTATAGACGTGAGAATGGAAAGGGTTTTTTTTCATTAAATCATAGTTTCATCTGTCAAGATACACCTCCCTCCTTTTCATAAAGAGATGAGAAGCAAAAGGAGAAAAGCACAGCAGGTAGGGTAGAAATGTGGGGTTAGGAATTCAGTTGCTTTTCTCCAGGGCTAATGCCCTGAAGGGTAAGGCTCTGGCCATGGCATAAACCCAGCTCACGGCATGGCACCCACCAGCTGCAAAGATGCAAACCTTGTTCCTGCTGCGGGTTGAGGTGTGAGTGCCCTGGGCCAGGTTTGACCTTCAGAGACTGGGCAGCACCAGGACTTCTGAAAGAAACCCACAGGCAAACCCTGGGGGAAAGCAGGAAAATATTTGTAACAACTCTGAGAGATCTTTATTTTCAGCTGCATTTTCCAGCAGTCGTGTCCTCCTATTTCCAAGGGATCCGGATAATGCAACCCAGATGCTTCTCTGGCTATCACTTTAAAGACTCCAAAGATTTTTTTTCAGTCAGGAAATGAAAAAATCCTTTTATACCAGTTTCGTTTCAACAAACGATTTTGCCTTCAGCTTTGTAACTTCTAACTAAATACAAAATGAAAATGAAAGCGTCACTTCAAATGGCAAGCAAACTTCCAAAATTTTTTTATATTGTTGCAACTTTCCCTTTTCACTGAGATTTTGTGTTGGAGACAAAGTAAACAATTTCATACATCTCAGATATATGTTTAATTAAAAGTAGTACCCTTTTTTAATGCAAACCAGTTTTTCTAGCAGCTCTACCTCCTGTATGTCAAATACTAAAGTCAAACTACTCTTTAAAACATTTGCTGGATGCATTCTGCAGAATGCTGGGTGTCATTTGTTCATTTCCACCTGGGCAAAGGGTGTTTAACATCTCAAAGCCTGAGACATTTAGAATGCAAATAAACAGGCGATGGAGATATTTTTTCTAACATTTAGAGTGCAGACTACAATCTGTGTTTAAGAATGTATTTTACCAACTAGTTCCAACTGATTTAAATAGAATTCAGGCTTTGAAATGCTTTAAATTCTTAAGTGGCTCTGTGGGTCTAAACCTTACTCTCTCCAGTCTAATGGGTATTGATAATGGTGATTCAGGGATTACAACACTGAAAATGGTATGATAAATACCTTCCAAACTGTAGTAAGAATCACAGCTAGAGAAGAAGGTTGAGAAACAGTCACCTGCACCTTTCAGTGATCCTTGGCAAAAGCCTAAAGAAAACTAAGTTTGAACTCTTAGGAAAGAAAGGAGAGTTTTCTTTCGGCTGTCACAGTGCATGCTTCTTGCAATAATTTCAGGGTTTTTAAACTGGAAATAGAAACAGTAAGAAAATGGCACAAGATATCCTGCTCTGATCCTACCTAAATCAAGAACTGAGAAATTACTGGAAATTGCATTAGAAGACCTTGCCTAGGAAAATTGCCTGGTTCAGGAAACTTCAATGAGTTGCTGTTACAGCTGGACAGCTTTTTTCAAGCTGAACAAAGCTGCTGAATATTCAGGTCCCTGAATTTCCTCTTATTTATGGAAATAATTTTTTAAATATTTATCCTTATGTGTGTAAAATCATATTCTATACATTACCCAACAACTGAGGCAATACAGAATGTCTAGAATGTGAAAAGGTCACAAAACCAGACACTGATTTTTCTGGCTTTGGCCAGAATTGAAGGTTCTTCTTTTTGAGGCTTGAATGCTGTTAGTTTTCTGCACTGCAAAGAGCAAACATATCAAAAAACTTACCCTCTCAGGGCCACAAGCCAGCTGTTCCCCTCTACCACATATAAACCGCAAAACTCAACAAAACACCACAATCCCCTGCTACTGTTGCATTTGCTACTGCTTCAGCAAAACTACAAAACTATTCTTCCCCCTCAATTTTCTGCTTTACTTCTGCAGGAATTCTCTATATCCCGTCTCAAAATGTTATATCCAGCCAAGTTCAATGCTAGACATCCACCCATCGGCAAACAGCTGCTTCTGAAATTCTCCTTGGCTGAAATATACCCCTGTGAGGTGAGCAGGATAATAAGGTTTTCTTTCTTGTAACAAAACCTTTTTGTGAGTCTGTTCCACATCGTCCTGCAGGACTAAGCTAGTTAAGAATACCAACAACAGCTCCAATAGCTAATGGGCTTGTAAGCTGATTTTCATAATGAAAAATCTATACTAATTTTAACTAAATTGGAAAAATGGTGTTTGAAAGAAACTGTATTCTTCTCTTTGGAAAATAGTAAAATATGTGGAAAATTCATACAATCACTTTATTGCCAAAAAGACTGAGTATCAGTCTAAAGTTGGGGGAAAAGATAATATTTATTTATTATAAAACACAGTGATCCAAAAGAAAAATGTAGGTCAAATCTTAGGAAAATTTTAGATTGTCCAATAGTACTGTGAATTCTTTGTGCAGAAATATTTAAACTGTTATTTTCCGTACAGACATGTCAGAGACATGATTGTCAACTATGCAGGGAATTCAGTGTACCTGCATCTGCAGGCTGGATTTTCTGAAGATGAAGGTAGCACAGAGTGAGCACTGGAGACAGGACAATTAATCCCTTGCACCAGGACACATGCCAGCTACTCAGTACCTATATTTGAGGGATCTTACACACCAGTGCACCATCACTTCCCTCCATAAATATAAATCACACACTGTTCACCAGTGCACTAATAGTTGCTATTACTCTTGCAATTGTCCAGGAGGACAAGGATGGAATAATGACAAGAGTAGAGGAGGAGTGGAGCCAGAAAGGAGAAGTTAAAGCAGGTTTGTAGTGATTCCCTTCAAAATATCTTACACTTTGGGCCGTGAAAAAGCAGCAAAGAGCAGGGATTTTGGCTGCAGCCCTTTTGTATGTGAACGTGTGAGGAAGTGTGGGCTTAACCCCTCTGCCTGCCTGTTCCTCTGAAGGGATAGGAAGGAATGCAGCTACAAGTTAGGTCACACCGTATACCCTGGCTACCTCATCTAAGCATCTGGGTCATTAAAACAGGGCAGCCAAAAAGGAGAATAAGTGGCTCTTTGCCTACTGCCCACATTAGTTGTCTCTGAAATTGGTACTCATGGGTCCTGAGTAGCCTCCTCACTGTAATAAAGAAACTTCAAAGAGCATCCTGTCTCCCCACCCAGGAACAGCACTGACTGTGAATGACACCTGAATGTTTGTGGCTTTAGGCATTTTGCCGCCTGACACATCTCATCCTTTACTGACCTAAATTCACATTTTGCAGTTGCTTTAGGGCATTCACGGAAGGCTGACTCCACTTTGAAGACAGAAATGTTATAAATGTCAAACACCCCAATGATTATTTACATGCAAACATACATTGTATCAGTCATTTACATAATAGTGATCAAAATGATAAGGTCAGAATTAAGCAAGAGGTCAAAAGTCAGCATTTTGTGTCTGAAAATAATGTGCCACTGAAAAACGTGACCAACTCTAAGCTGAGCTCAGGTAGAACGACTGACGGACATCCTATATCCTTTCCTTGGATGTCAGACATGGAGCTTTCAAACCTACGATGAAGTTGTTACACACTGCCTTCATGTGGCTCCTGAGAAGATTTTCACTCCAAGTTTTCACCATGGGTTCCTGTGGCCCATTTGCAAAGCTACCCTCTCCCTCAGCTCGTGGCAATTTGACAGCCCTGTTCCACTAAATTCTTTACATTCTCAATCTTCAGGTAACTCAAGAGCCTGGTTCTTCTCATAGCAGTCAACCAAAAAAGTACATTAATTTTGATGGCACAGGATCGGATCCTTGGGCAAGGCATTTTATCAGCTTTTTTCTCAGGATTTTTTTAGAGCTGGTAATGAATGCAGTAAATAAATGCATTTGCTTGACCTCCTCAATCAATATACATTTATTCTATTTTCTTTGTTCCTTCCCATCAGCAGCCTATAATTGCTTAGCATTTGGTTGCCTTTTTTACTCTCCCATCCTATTTCTGATTTGCTCTTTAATTCTCCCAAGTAAGGCCAAGTTCTCTTCCTTTCCCCACTTTATTAAGAAAATTCATGGTATAAGAAGGTGCTGACTCTTTTTAACCTCTATTTCCATTCTGCAGGGGTTTAGTTTTACCTTGCATGAACAAACTCAGAGTTATTCACAAATGAAAGCAAGAAAAGATCTACCTGTGCTTGATTTTCCCTCAGAGACAAGAAGAGCCACTGAATAAATAAATAGTATTTGCTGGGAACCAGAGTACATTTTCTGTATTAGTAGCAGTTCTTGGGAAATTATTTGTAGTAAATTGTTCAAGTTTCACAGGCCAGTGGGCATAGGGTAACTTAGTGGTAACAATCGGAGAAGGAAAAAATCTTTCTCCCTCAAGGAAAGACAGATATTTGGAGAAAAATAATATAAAGGAGTTGTTCAGTGAAAGAGCTGTATAGAGGAACAGCAATGCTGAGAGAGAATAACAAGTCTCAAACTAGCGGCTTCATCTAACAGCAAAAGAATAGCAATTAAATTTTATGTAGTGGTGGGACATCATCGAGCAGTGTCCCTGCATTTGCAGGGACCCTGCTTCAAAAATATGCTAAGTATGATAAGCAATTTATGACCAGGAATTGAAGAGACCACTATATATATTAAAAAAAGATAAAAACAACTGACTACATAGTGATTCCTGGTAAATGAGGACAAAATCATAGGCTATAATAAAAAATGCTGGGGATACAAGAAAAGAAAGGTTTTTTTTTGCGTGTTGTCAAAGCTTGTAAATAAAAATAGTGGATTAAACCTGCAGAAGGAAGGAAAGTTTGGTGAATATTAGGTTAAAATGAAAGTTGTAATATTATCTTGTTCTATGGGAAGTATCCTAAAAGAGTACATGAAGCAGGGGATATACATACATTTTTAAATAACAGACCAAATGACCTATTAAACTTTATCTCAACTGGAAGATTCTTACAGCTATATTCAGAGAATGAAACGTCATTAACCTCAGTATCATTGATACTTTCAATAAAATAAGTTGGTCTGACACCCTGTTCTTGTATTAGAAAAATAGGAAATATTTTATTTAACATGTAAATTATCATTGCCTGAATTATTCTGGATAAGAACTAAAAGAACTGAAGCATTTTAGGCCATCATAACTCATCCTGCAGTTTTCTAATCCCTGCATGCAGGGACCTTCACTTGCAGCCCTAGCACCATTACCTGCAGAGAGATGCCAGGTTGTTTCGTATCATCCATCTGAATTCTCCCGTGTTCCCCTTCCAGAACTGATGGGGAGAATGATGCTCACTGTCAAAGACACTTCAATGTGCTGGGCCAAAGTTAATTACACGGGACTTAGGCTGGTTTATACCTGCTTATGACCCAGTGCATGACAATGCTTGCTGTGTTGGGAAATGAATGTGGAGTGCTACCCTACTCATGCATGATGTAACCATTAACTCAAGGGCAGTCACAGAGGAAGCTATAAAGGAGGTAAAATCAGTAGAGCATGGACAGTATTTGCTAAGTGCCAGCTGTTAATCCAGGGTAATGAGTTAATTTTTAAAGGAAGAACTTGCCATGAGAGAGTCATGCATGCTCCCACAGCTCCCAGATGGATTGCACCTTGCTGGGATATGGAACCCGGTCTGGGACCAATGGTGAGGATGGTGCCAAGCTATTTTTCTTTCTGAGCTTGTCTGTTGTCATTACCTATTTTGCTACATTTTATGACTCCTGCTTCCAGATGGCAATTTATATCTTAGCTGAATAATAATAATAAAAAAGGTAATTTTTATCCCTGTTTTGCAGATACATTCTATAATTGTGATAAACAATGTGTATCACCCCAAATGTATATTGTGTGCTGCTGAAAGAGCATGGGCAGCACACTAGGCTGATTTTTCCCAAGCACACTTTTACTTATGGTGGTGCAGAGAAGAGACTGAAGGAATACCAGCTGTTTTTTTCCCTCTCCTGCTACATGACTGGCTGATACACCATGTGTTCATTCATGTGTCTGGTGGAAGGGCAGCCATCCCAGGCAGACCAGGACAGTATGTGTTAGTGGGTTTCTATGGGGCAGTTCCTTTACTTTGGTTTTCTTTAGCATCTGTTTTTGAAAGTAAATTAATTTTAAAGGGTGACTCCTTTGCTTGTGAAGTATTTTGAGTCAATCTATGGGTAGTCAATCTATAACAGAAACTACTTTTGAACTGTGTCTTTATGTTATGGGGTGATGAATGAGCGGTTGGTGAAAGCACTCATGAAACCCTCAGGATCTGTTAGCATTCCTCATTTTCTAAAATTAGATTTCTAGCCCCACCGCTGTAACTCAAAAAGCCAAAGGGTTTGAATGTGTGTGTGCTTGTACTTATGAACTCCTCAAGCTACTGGTATCTGCATTTGTTCTCTTTGAGTCACCATTATTAAATCTGCCCTGGTTGCTGCTCAAACCCTATTGATGACCATGATGATGTCCTATATTTGTTCTTTATAAAAATAACTTGTCCAGTTTATTGCTGCAGCAATTTGATAATAATTATTTATGTAGTGGACATCTTTAGAGCTAATTTGGTACAGGCAATGCTTTGATTAAACTGTCTAATGCTGTATGCTCTTTGGAAAAGTTATCAATACCCACATTTTCATTTTCCTTTCTCTCTTTTCCTTTTAAGTAGGCAATTATTAGACTTTATATAATTTTATTAAAAACTAGGCTACACATCCAGTATTCAGTTACACAGTATCTTGAAGAAAATGTAGATGAGCCTGTAAACTAGAGCTTGATGGCCCAGTGGGTCCTTAGCATGCCTTCAGCCTGTGCACTAACTTCCAGGTTGAATACTTTTGTGTGATGATATTCACATTGTCCTTTATCACATCCTGAGTAGTGCAATATAGTGCAGAAAGTGCTTCCATCTCCTATGGAGACAAATTGCTTTTCATTTTCTGTGTGAATAACTGACTATTTAGGTCTGGAATTCATCTACATACATTTGATGAACCAGTTAGATGCCTGTTCTTGTTAGGTACCATCTGCAGGCAATGGAGAGAGACAGGCACTTGTGCAGGGTGATTCCTCCCCCCCTCACCCACCATTCAGGATCTGAGATAAACTCGAGAGGTTCCTGCAGAGCGAGTCTATGACAACTGCATTCCTAAAGTAGGCACTGCAGCTACATGCATGAAGTTGCCTGGGTAAAGTGCACTGTGACATTCAGTCCTTATGACTTTAACCATTTATGTGTTAGGACTGTGGACCCAGGTATGTGCCTGTAATTTACTCAGTCATTAGAGGGAGAAGGTATTTCCTGGCAAGGATAAATATACTGGACAGATGTTGTACATAGATGGGAAGAGTCATGCTCTAGGGGTTTCTGACTCTTTCTGCCAAAGATAAAGAGTGTCTTGAATAACTACCTTGGAGCAGGAGCCTAACTTTTAGATGGCTGAAAAAGTCTCATTGTTAGTGTCTGTCCTGGGTTCAGCAGTAGCAGTAATGCAACTGTATGTCTGACTGGGTTTAAACCACAACAGTGTTAAAGGAAAGTATCATCCCAGCAGCTTAATAGTCATCTTTTATCTTATCCGGTAGGATAAAACAGGCAGCAGGATGCAAGCTTCCCTGTAATGTTCTGTGAGTATCATTCAAAGTTATTAAGCTCTGATTTGCCTGAAGAGCTAGAAAATAGCTCAGCCTTCATTGTCATTAACTCAGTTACTTTCAGCTGCATGTCAGATTTTATGACAGAAAGCTGAAGTCATTTTACCAATTTTATGTGACGCAGCAGGTAGCCAAGATACTAACTGGATAGGCTGAAACTGAGCTTTCAACTCAGTTGTGATGGCATAATAGCAGAAAAAATAAAGTAGATTTAACTGTAGATACTTTGAATCCATTAAGAGAAGGGATGGAGAACAGACCACTATTTTTTCAAGTATGGGTTTCAGGAAGATGTTAACATTCTCACGTCATGATGATCATGATTTGATAACAATGCCTGCAATGAATTTTTAGTAGGCTTTTATATCTTATATTTATAGAGTTTAAAATCCTTTTAAAGTCCTAATAATTCAATAATCATATTGCATGCAAGAGTGAACAAGTGGCTGCTATACTGGAAAAATGCTCACAAGGCTACGAAGACCAGCTATGGACAAGTTGCTCAACATTGGCTTGTGCAGTCTTGTATGAGCTCTGCAGTGCAGAAGCAAGATCAAATATGAGTTTAACTCATTCTAGTTACTGGCTGCAGTGTGCAGAAATTCACACTTCTGGTGTGAGGACATAAATGATGCACCTAATGACATAGATGAGCCCAAACTTGATGTTTTCATCTGGGCAACTGATAAAATATGGGCTCGTATTTTTAAACACAGTCAGTAACTGTGGGTGGTGCAATGTGTAAGTACCTATCTTGAGAGTCTACTAGTTAAAATTTCTGAATTAGCCTTACACTGACTGAGGAGCTTTTAATGCTTATGAACACAAATATGCAGCACCAGAAACTGGGTGGAGTTTACAAAACTACTTTGGTTCTAATATTTCTACACTGGTTTGCAGTGAAAATGTGAGCAGCCTTTAAAAGCTTTATCTAGCAAACAATCCTGCAATGTGCCTCATCTCTTGAATCATAATGTTGCCTGTTGTATCTGCAGCCATCAGGTATTGTGTGTCAACCAAACTAAAGAAAAGAATTCTAAGTCAAAGAGATCTTTTAATACTGCAGAAGTCAAAGAATACAATCCTGAAAGGGTCCTCTGGAAATAATCTGATTATCGCTTGCTTTCCAAAGTTTATAGGATTAATTATATCTACAACTTCCTTGAAAGATTTACCAACTGTCCTAGACAAAGTATTCTATTGTTTATCTGCTCTTACTGCTACAAAGGTTTCTAATATTCAGTTTAAGTCTTTTTTAGTATGATTGAGATTCATTAGTCCTTGCCTAACCCCTAGTGGACAGGGAGAATATAAGAATGTAATGTTCATCCCTTTTCATTCTTTTTCCATTTCATGCCTATAAGATATATGTTACTGTGTTTTCCTAATAATGTCCTTTAGAGAAATATCCTTTATTTCTTCAGTCCTACCTTGCTGTATTTCCTAGACTTCTATTGTTTTCCGTGTTCTGATGTATCTTCAGTGTTCTGCTCAATTGATTTCTTCTACCTCAGGACAAATTTTTGCATACGTCTCTATTGAGTTGAATCCAACCTTTTCCCTCGTCATTCCTTCCATATGATAATTATTGCTTTTGCCACCTAGGCAGACCTGTAGGCTGTCCATGCTGTAGGCCATGCTCAGCAAAAAATAAACACTTGTCTGAAATTACATTTGAGCCTCTGTTAGGATTCTGAGGAGGCTGTGCATGCTGAGCTGGCACGTAATTTCAGTTCACATCAACACACACATATGAATATATATGACTCTCTGAAACTTTACCTGTGATGTGTCTGTGTACATGTCACACTAACAGAGACCTATTACTACATGCCTCTAGCAAACAAGTGACTAATCGGGCAACTGGGCATTTCCATTTGGGGGCTTTTCTACATCTTTTTTTTTTACACTAGTGTATTTTCCTGATCATTTTTCTCTATTTTCTTGGTAACAAATTACTTCAGCGTGATATTTTTTTCTCACATCTAACCACTATGAAAACATTAACAAGCAAGAAGCAGCTGTTTTATGCCAAAGGAAAGCTGTAAATTAATCTTTAATTCAAGGGAGTTGCATGTTTTGGATTCGTGGCAATTAATTCTCTGGCCCAAAGAAGGAGACAGAAACTGAGTCTAAAAAACATGAATCAATAGCTCTGGACAAGTTCTTATAAAACGCCCATGAGGTAAGACTCAGATTTCTTCCTCTGCTATGGGTAGGTGCTGCACGCTTTACCATTAATCATGTAAACAATTCCTCCTGTGCAAAGCTGCATCAGGTATTTAAGGCAGGATCAGAGCAAGATGTACATTGCCTGACTGTAAATCTATTCCTGAGATATTCAGCAGTGTTTTATAGATAATTACATGTTATAAAACTGTTTGAAGTAGCAAATAAAAGGTGAACTACTAAACATGGCTGCAGAATGGTTGCATATCCTGTGGTAATTGGAAGTGATTGACTTCTTTGAAAATGGCTTTTGAAAATAAATGAATATTTCCCTAAACTTTTCTTAAAAAAATAGTATGATAAAATCCCAGTTTAAGAAATAGACTAGTTATTGTCTAATCCATTATTAAGTTCCTCTTTTATCTGGGAGCATGTGAACTCAGCTGTAATAAAAGAGGAGAGAAAGAGACTCTTCTTAAGATGTTTTCACTGCTGATA